AGAGAGAGAGAGAGAGAGAGAGAGAGAGAGAGAGAGAGAGAGAGAGAGAGAGCGGAGAAGCGGGGGTTAATGGACCTCATCGCAATTAGGCCTCGGTTGGACTTTGGCACCTGGCCTGTGCGCGGACTGCGCGATCGCGAAAACTTCTCGGTTCGTAATGGCTGCTACAAGCCTCCTTGGACTTGGAGTGATGGGGGTCATGGGCGCCGCTTTGTCCAATACTCTCTTTCCAGAGCAGAGTCTGGCTCTAAATACCCCGGACCAGACCAGACGCGGCTGCCGGGGAGTTCATGGGGGTTCAGGCCGACCCGGCACCGGGGAACAAATTAGTGTCCGACTGGCCATTGTGACCGCGGGACGGCGGCGGCGGCGGTGGTCCGTTAGCGACGCCTCCAGCTCGCCCCCCAAAGCCCTGGTGCAGCTGCAGCAGGACCTGGGACCTGGACGCCGTTGGCAGCTGGGCCCCGGGTGGCGCCTCGGGGGGCGCTCCCCGACGCTGCGCAGGCCTCACGTGAAGGGCCTGGCTGGGCAGTGATACGGCCTGTGCCAATGGGCGGGGCGGGGCGGGGCGGGGCGGAGCCCGCTGAACAAATGGTCGTAAAGAGCCGAGCAGAATGCATGCATGGGATGGGGTGTGGTGCGGCGGCAGCAGGATGCTCGCGCAGCTCGCGGGGGCCTCCGGGGGGTGGTCCTCATCGTCCTCATGCACACCAGGCCACAGGCCAGGCCACGCGGGACGGGACGCCCTATAACACTCTTGTTTGTCACGATAAACAACGGCGGGAAGAGAAAATGCAGGTAGCCCGGGGAGTGGGGGGGGGGAGGCTGGAAGATATCCAGTTAGCGTAAAAGTGAGGGAGAGTGAGAGGGGGAGTGAGGCCGAGTGAGGTGGGGGGGGGGGGGAGGAGGCAGAGTAGTAAGAGCGTGGGAGTGTTGTCGTGGTGGGTGCTATGGCGTGGACTACTTGGGCGTGGCGTGGCGTGGCGTGGTCCCGGAGGAGATGGCAACATGGACCCACCGGCGCGGTGGTGCAGATAGATGAGGTGGAGGGCAATGTGCGATGTGCGATATCCCAGGTCCCAGCCGAGCGGCTCGACCCGACCCCGAGGGTGATGAGGCTGCAAGAGTCTCGTCGGGACAACAAGGAGTAGAGGACTCATGCGGTGGCGGAGCTGGCGGAGCTGGCGGAGCTCATTAGGTGCGGCTGATGGTGATGACGGTCCTGATGACGCCCGGCCCGCCCCAAGCCGCACCGTGACCTGGCCCCGGCCGAGCCGCGGCAGCCGATCCGACACCTCTCCGTCTCCGTACCCGTCCCCCCCCCCGTCC